GTGTGTAATTGACGATGAAACAGTAAAGTAATTATGTGTTTAGTTTATACTAGATGAATTGCCTTTTGTCCCCTGAGGAAGCACACCAGCAAAACTCATTGGGAGAATAAATGCATGGCACATTTGAAATATTATTGTGAAGACACACACGAATTAACTGAGGAAATATTGGCCAATTGGCATTCATAGTGCTACAAGATCGTGAATGTGGCTGCGGGAGGCATATTGTAAAGGAGGGTACAAAATTGTATGTGTTTTTATTCCTATATTTATTGCATGTCAAAATGAATTTTTATTGAGAAAAAAATCTGTAGGAATCAATAAATTAATACTGATTTTAAACAAATGCAATTGTGTGTGCCTCTTAAAACCCCAGATGAATTGGTTTTTGTGTTAGTCTATAATAGGGGATGAGGTGCAAATCAAAGTGACTAACTCTGGGGAAATATGTGAGTGAAAGTTATATCATTAGGAAATTCAAGTAAAAAAAAAAAATTTGACATGAATATTTTATATGAATAAGAATGTAAACTCACCAGTAGGAGAAAAAATAGTACCTCGAACTCGCCCTTCATGGATCTGGGTCCTTTGTACATCAGCAGCTATGTGCCATCTATTAAATGTAGCACTGCAAGTGGGCTGTGGCTCAGCGCTTAACCCTAGTGATATAAATGTAAAAAGATCCACCGTGTACAGAAATGGGCTAGCTTTCACATGTCGTTTAACAGGTCGCTGAAATGGTTTTTGAGGCTTCAATGACCATAACAGTCCCATTGGATATACTCCTTCATAGTTTCCTCCAAGAGCTGGATTGCTATCCAGGTCGATTTGCCCTTCTCCATCAGCTTTGTAAAATGCTCGTGACTGGAAGATGTTTCCAATATCATCATGAAGTGTTAAACGAATAGTTGTCAGTTGATGGGGTTTCAGTCCTAAAGCTTTAATGTGCACATGTTCATCTGCCAGACCAGTTTCAGGGGTAACCTGAAGATTCACCATATCTGGAAATTGTACAAATTGAAAACAAAACTTGAAACTAGAAATATGTGCAGTGATGTAATAAACATTTAGATGAAGGTCAATATAAAACATAGATATAAAGTTAAAAATTCAAATGTATAGTTTACAAATAAATATAGTGTAAACAAACTTGTATGCAAGTAAGTGAAGATGACTGTGCTTCCCTTTTGCCTGCAGATATTCATCCATGTGCTCATTATAAAGCCCTTAAGAGAACAAACTGTATTCTGATAAAGTTAAAGAGAAGTATATCACTAGGGATAACGTTTTTTCTTTGGAGTTCTGGATAGTGTGGGGAAGGGTTAGACCCACTGTCAAGTTTTCATTACTGTCTCTGTCCCCCTGAGGAAGATTCACCTCTTTATCTGTACTGGTGACCATTGTCACAGAAAATTAATATGAGAGGAAATACAAACTTTTACAGTTGTCGCTAGAACCAGAAGTTAGGGGAAATCATCTAATGGGGACACCTGTCTAAAAGAAGAATTCCCCTAACTTCTCTTTGGGACACAAGAGTAAATTTCCCCAGTGGTACACAGGAAAAGAAAACAAAATGGCAGGGGTTTTAAAACATCTCTATGCTATTCAAAAACGAAAAAAAAAGTTTTGGGTTTTCATACACTCATTAATTACTTTCGTTTGACTCACCAGACCAGAGCACCTAAATGAACTTAAATGGTTTGTACATTAAATTGTCAGTGCAACAATATACAAATATGTCAGTGACATTTCAACAAACTCTGCAAACACATCCTAAAACACAAAGGGGTTGATTTACTAACCTTATAAACACACCACGAACATGTATACACCTCTGTAGTGTGTTCCCTCCCAGCATGATCTATGGGTGGAATCTAAACACCTTTGTAGTGTGTACACACCAGCAGGTGTGTTGTGCAAAGCCAAGCATGAATTGCAAGGTGATGTTGTGTAAATTAGCTCTATGTTGTGTTGCTTGCGTTGATGAATGCAGGAATGTAAATGCATGAGCTAACCATTTTTGTCTAAACTGTGAAGCAGCATTATATATGCATCATGTGCATGATTTTTCCATGTATGGCATTAGTGGAAATATGCTTTTAGAGACTTTTTGGTTGATAAATACATTTTGCTGTGTAAAAATCACACGCACCTAGTGCGTGCGTGTGTTTTAGGTTAGTAAATCACCCCCAAAGTATTAATATACTGCACACAGTGAACTATGGCATAATATGTCATTAGACGTGTCCATAATCACAGCAGTACAACATTGAGCCTGAGAAAATCTAAGTCCAGCTCACAGTGAACTGTGTAATATATTTAAGATGTGTCCAATCTTCTCCTTTACTGTGTCAAATTGTACTTAACCAAAAGTGATCGGATGGGAACACTTCATCCAACACCCCGTGCTTCTCCCCCACCAAAATAATGCTCACCTCCTGGGAAGACCTCTGTAGGGAACCATCTGACTACAGAATTTTTAGGATGAGATAAACCCAAGCACCTGCTTGTCACAAGCTCCTCCCACTAACAGTCTCTCGAATACATGCTTCAGTATCATGTGATTATCTCAAATAAAATAAATTACAAACCAAAGTGCTCTCCTTAAAAGTAAATCAACTTCATTAACCCTTTCGCTGCCAGTTTTGTTTTGCACACACTATAATCAACATTTTAGGCCTAAAATCTACTTAACCCCCCCAGAATTATATATTTCCTGAAAGCAGACACCCTGTAGAATAAAATGGTGGCAGTTGCAAATTTGTATGTTCCATAAAACATAAAAAGCGCAAATCTTTATCAAGGCCAACATTTCAGGAAAATATATAATTAAAGGAGAACTATGAGGTGAGTGCTTTTCACTCACCTCATAGTTCTAGCCGACCTGTGACAATGAGACTGTCACAGGTCGGCTCAGTAGATCAGGAAGTGAGCGAACACATACCGGCGTTCGCTCACCTCTCGATCCTGTCACATCTCTCTGCCGTGACAGGGGAGGGGCTGGATTCCCCCCTCCCCGCTCCAATCCGCCAGCGCTGACGGGGTACAGCTGGCTCTGCCTCTGGATAGGCAGAGCCAGCTGTCAGTCACGCAGCTGGGCGGATCCTGGCACAATTGTCGGGATCCACTTCAGCTGCGGCGTCTCAGTATACCGCGAGCAGCAGCTGCGGCGTCTCAGCAGGGCGCAGGTGCTGAACGCAGGACCCAGATAGCAGTCTGGCAGCGTGGTACAGAATCAGCAGACAGGACGTGGCCAGGAACGGACTGGGTCGACAACTTGCCGGGTACCAGGCAATGGGCAGAAACAGTTCAAACAGGCCAAGGTCAAAGGATGCAGAGCAAAATCAGAAGGTCAGCATGAGCCGGGTCTGGGTGATCAATCAGGAAAGCAGGTTCAGGAATTAAAAACAGGGTACAGCTGAAGATCAGTCAGCATGGAGGACAGGCTGTCTTAGCCATAAATAGCCCGTTTGGTGGCACCATTCTAAACGAGTGCATGCGCACGTCCACGCGCACACCGTGGAACAAGCACACAAAAGCACTCATGCCTGTGCAGAGGCACACAGCCATAGACAATTCTATGTGTAGAACTATGCACATGGCTATACGCATGCTCTGGACACAAAAGCTGGTTTTGGCTTCCTGACATATACAGATAATTGCAGCAGGCATAATGAATAAGTACATGCACCATTGAAAGTAGATGAGTTAATTCAAGTGGATAACATCCCTCCCAGTTCTGCACCAACCCAACATGTGCACAACTGCAAGGGAAGGAAGCCCCAGGCATTGGTTAGTTGATTGCAGTTGAGCAAAACAGTGAAAAAAAGCGAAAAACGATATAGAACACCAATGAGGCAATTATTTTATAAACATGTGCACAACTGCAAGGGAAGAAACCCCCAGGCATTGGTTAGTTGATTGCAGTTGAGCAAAACAATGAAAATAAGCAAAAAAAACCCGATGTAGAACAATTATTTTATAAACAGCGGGACAAAGTAAACATTTTCATGAAACAACAGAGCTGGAGAGAAGATCCAGGGAGTTGATGCTATATCTCTTCTACTTTTCAATTTTTCAGTGAGTTTGGAGACATGTAAGTAGAGGTCCTCCCTTTGTGCAAAGGGTATCATTCTCCAGGGTAAAGAGTTCCAACTCTCAAACCGGGACTTAGCTCACTTCGGTAATGATAATTACGTTTGAGAAGTGAAACTATGAATTAGGAAAAACCTTTATACACGGTGTTGGGTAGTCCGTGTCATCATCAAAACGTGGACAATAAAGAATGTAAAAGTATTTACAGATTTATTTGTGTTACTAGCCACCTTAGTTGCAGATCTCATTTGCTCCTTTGCTTGATCCTTGGATTAATTCCACTGGTGTGGGGAAGAACTGTGTTCAATTCTGGCCACTATGTGGAGCCTGGCCAGGTACATCAAAACATATTTAATTTGCAAATTTCCCAAGCATTTCTTGGCTTCTAGTGATGTCTGCTGATGCTGGATTTCAACACAAACATTTTAAAACACTGCTGTCGTGGTATTTTTAAAAGGAATATTGCCTTTCTCTTGCTAGCATCCCCATCTATATAATTGAGCATCTTGATGGTATGTGGTGGTGATAAAGAAATTACAAATATAATATATGGATTTAATAAAATGTATTATTTGAACCTATGTAATATGAAAAAACAACTTACATCATACTGCTTTTCCCCTAGATACCACACCTAGAATCATATATCATATGATTATTTGTCCTGATAATGAATGTTTGCTATGTCAGCTTGTACTTCAATGTCAACTTGTTTAATTTCGTTTGATTACCACCATTTTTGCAGATATTAATAGTTAATGCATGTAGAAAAGGAGGTTTAGACTTTTGGCTGGACAGGACAAAAACTTTTACTCAAATGTGTAGAGTGTTAAGAGAAAGATATGATGAGGGGAATTTATCAAAACTGGAGCAGTTACCCATGGCAACCAATCAGCTTCTCTCTTCAGTTTGTTCAGCTGGGATTTGAAAATGAAAGAGAGAAGCTGATTGGTTGCCAGGCACAGCTGCTCCAGATTTGGTCTGCTCCCCATTTTATAAATTCCCCTCAATATCTTTTCTCTAGGAAGTTTCTCTAGGGAATCCTAACAAAAGAATGCAAGGTATGAAATACATCCCTAATAAAATGAAGGAAGCATCAACCCCAGTCATCCTGTTGACTGACTTTGATTCTGATCAAGCATAGGAAGTTGGCAAATCAGTACCACTATGTGCAATGAAGGGCAATGATAATTGGTTGCCAGTTACTTCCATGCAGATAGCGTTTAAGGAAGGAGCTACATTGCCTAGTCAGCTTCAATACCCCCTCAGTGTAGTCCAAATAGATGGCATTAAAGCACAAATAGATTGGCTACTAGAAAATTAAGCTGTAAACACCACTTTATTCCCCATTGCCAAATGCCCCACCAAGGAAGAAAAGACCACAGCATATCGCATGGTACAGTACATGATCTAAGAGCTGTAAACAAAATCATTCTGGCAGATGCCCCTGTGTACCCAACACACACACTGCTAGGAGATGTACCCCCTCAAGTGTTTGTTTTACTGTAATTTATCTAGCAAATGCGTTCTTTTCAGTGCCCTTGCATCCAGATTCCTGGTATTTGTTTACCTTTACTTTCTAAATGACACAATAATGCTGAATGCGTTTTGTACAAGGAGCAGTTACCAGCCTGTCCGAATACAGCAGCAAGCCAAAGGAAGCATTAGACATCTGGATCCCAGGACATAATAAAACTAAATTGTTACAGTACATACTGCAGATAACCTACTGCTATGCTGTGATTCTTATGACATTTGTCAAGCTGAAACTACCAGTCTTTAGTGTTTCCTAGCACAAACTAACAACAAAGTGAACAACATCAATCTGAAATGCAGAATATGCACTCTATTGATGTTTGTATGATATCAAATATTTACTCCACCAGAGCTCCAAGGAGTTTTGG